TGCTGCCGCGCCCCCGATGAAGAAATCCCTGCGCCCTGGATGCCCTACCAATTTCGACGTAGATCTGACTTCAGATCAACCGAAGGAAGCAAGCGTGCCAAAGGAAGCTGCGCCGCCTGCAGAAGCTGAGCAGGAGGACATTGTTCTCAATATTTGAGGAATCCTCAACTATCCATTCCCCGTGTTAAGGATGGTTCGGTTCGTGCCAAGATATCTGGTCGACAGTAGGGCCCCCCTCCAAATAGGTTTGTTTTGGCGAGGGCCGTCTTTTAGGGTCAAAGGAATACCAAACCAGGACAAGGAAACAAATTTGCACCTCTTAGACGAACATCGCTGCTCAGGGGAACTTGAAGTATTCCCGAGAACGGGTACAAAATTAGTATACCCATTTGGGAAGGGGTACAGTGGTTCTATCTGTAATATATGTAAGTGTATTTATATGTAGATATATTTTTAAATATATGTATATGTGTATATGCAAATATACATATATATATATATATATATATATGTATGTATATATATATATACATGTATATATATATACATGTATATATATATATATATATACTCAACATCTACTGGTGGAGCAGGTGGTGTTGCCGGTGATGCTGGGGGTGCTGCTGGGGGGTGCTGCTAATCTGTTTGCCCTGAACAGGGAACTAATTTAGTTCCCACTTGGGAAGCCTCCTCAAAGGAGGGTGTTGATGCTGCGCTGGGGGTGTTGCTGGTGATGCTGGGGATATCGCTGGTGATGCTGGGGACATTGCTGTGTTTGTATGCTTCGCGGCGCCTGAAGCGGGAACTAATTTAGTTCCCATTTGAGAAGCCTCCTCAAAGGAGGTGGTGCTGGTGATGCTGGGGGTGTTGCTGGTGACTCTGGGGGTGATGCTGGGCGGGGTGATGGGGGAAGGGGGGTTGCTGGGGTGTTGCTGGGATTCTGCAACTTGCTCACGAGGGGGGAGTTTGCAATGTGGCGCTCGGCCCCTCAAAGTTTGGGGGATTTGGCACAAAGCCCAAATTTTCGCCGAGAGTGGTACATGAATTATACACATACACATGTAGATATATAATATACACATGTGTATATACATACACATGAATACACAACCTATGCTTTAGTATTCCCCCTTGCTTGCGGAAAGATTTCGCACTCCGACCAAATGGTACCTGCGGCGCTGCCTTGTTGAACGGCAGGACGTCACCACGATGCTCACAAAGACCATGGACGCCATCCTGGCCAGGGCGGCAAAAATGGGAGACATTGCCAGCAAGATGGCAGAGCTGTCATCCGAGCGTTCCGTGAGGCGGGGCTGTTTTGACCCACTGACTGGTCTTTCTTAGCCACTTTTCAGGGTGGCTGAATCGGCAAGCGCAATCCAGAAGGAGATGGATGCCCATTACGATGTGCTTGCCAAAATTTTGGCGAAGGCTAAGGCGTTTCGCGGGCCACTGCCCTCAGCGCGCCCTTGATTGAACATTTACACACAGGTGTCAGTGCGAAGAGGATTGTTGACCATGTTTCCATCAAAGGCACATTGAGCTCGCGGAGAAGAACATAGAGACAGCCGAAGTTTTGCCGCTTGACTTCAGTGAGCCGCAGCACGGTTTGCTTGCCCATGGTTTTTCCTGAGGGGAAGCCAAGCGACTCGTGCAGAATCCAACGCTCAGCACGGGCCAAAGTTGCCATAGGGTTTGCCGGACAAACAGTTTGGTAATTGCCGAGGCCTCTTTTGAGGGAGCTTCGCCAAATGAAGAAGCGCCCTGGGGAAGACACTGAGAAAAATGATGCCAAACCCGCCGCTAAGTCCAAGACAAAGCGCCGAAAGAACAAGTAGCTGTATGGTGCCTGGTAGCATTTCAACTCTACAGCCCAGGGGTCAGATGCGCAGGCTAACATCGCGTGTCTCGATGGCTGAAAACAGTTGCAGCCCGCCTCTGCTGGCAGTCGGCATGTTTTTGACCACGCAGCTCAAGTAGCATCATCGGCCTCTCGCCAGGTCGGGTCGGACCACTTGGACAACACGCAGCGCACTGCATTGCCAATGGGGTGTCTCGTCGTTCCGACCCTTTGCTTTTCTGATGAACCAATTAGTCCTTTACAACTTCCAAACGGGTCTCTTTCAAGGGGGGGCTAAGCCCTTTCTTGGTGGTGTCCCTTTGCCTGTTTCGGGGGAAACAAACCGTGATGCTCAGGCTTCTGCAGTTTCAGTGCACGAGATGGCAAAGGCTGCTACGCAACATTTCGGGGCAACTTCCTGCCCTGTCACAGCTGGCCTTGCCAAGTGTCGTGCTGAAAGAGCCGAGACAAAATGCCATAAGTTGCCACTTTGCAGCAAATTAGTGCGCGCAGTGCGGCGTTTTGAGTGTGCTCGATTTAGTTTGGGTTCCAAGGTTCCGGAAATGCCGCCTAGCACTGGACGTAGACATTCAGTGGATGCCTCTTCCTGACGGCTCATCATTTCCGGTTCTCCCCCCGTCCGGCATGATCAGCTATCTGGCAGCTAGTGACAATATGGGTAAGCTATGCGGTGAGCTGCCCAACAATGAAATTGAGACAACCCTCCAAGAGTTCTGGCGGCGATACAGTCATGTTTCTCCATCCCATCAAGTCTACGAGTCTGCCTTGGCAGGCCGCCTGCGGCTCTGCCGCACTTTCCCGGCTTACGTTCATGGCGATGAAGGTCGCGGATTGAAGAAATCAGGGGTCCTGCTATTGAGTCTTCAGGGGGCACTTGGCCGTGGCACAAGGTGTTTCTGGAAACGTTGCAAAGCCCAATCCCGGAGACAAAGGATGGGGGTCAACATAGCCGGCAGCAGTTACAGCACCCGTCTTCTTTACGCTTGCATGCCAAAACAGTTCTACCAAAAAAGCGCAAAGAACTATGACGCTTTGCTGAGCTTTCTGACTAGGGACCTCAAGAGCCTGGAGGCCGGATTTGATTGGAAAGGGGAGACCTGGCACATTGTGGTGCTGGGCTTGAAGGGGGACATGCCATTCTTAGCCAAGACTGGCAAACTATCTCGGCATTACCTCCGGGCAACGCGCAAAGAGTCCTCTCAAGGGAAAGGGGTTTGCTGGCTTTGTCCTGCTGGCAAAAACGGATGCCCGTATGAAGACTTTAACCCATCCTGCGCCTGGGCCACTACCCATGCCCCTGAGCCTTGGAGCCAACGACCTGTAGTGCTTGACCTTTTGCACGACAGCGCAGCCCCTGAAACCTACTTCAAGCCGGATATTTGGCACAATTACCATGGCGGGGCAGGAAAGTCCTTTATCGCGTCCTGTTTAGTTGAAGCATTCTGTCTCCTGCCTGAAGGGTCCATGGACGACAGGGTGGCGCACATGGACGAGCACCTGAGGCGTTGGAGCCGGCAAACCAGTTCCCGCATGCCACACAGCGGTGGGTTTGTGAAGGAAAGGATCGGCCTAACATCTTATCAAGTCTGCCCGGACGCTTGTTGGTCCAAGCATGCGGACACCTATGTCTACCACTTGTTCATGGAGTGGCTACTCACTTGCTTCGAGCAAACGTGCCAGTCCCATGACATCCTGTCCCGCATGCTTGAGGCAATCCGCAGCATCAACGAAGCGTTTCGCCTGCTGTACCGAGGAGGTCTTTGGCTTGATTGTGTGGAGGCCAACCGAATTGGAACACTGGGGCGCCGCTGGCTTCAGCTTCACGCCGAGCTTTCCATGATTACCTTCAATGCTGGTCGCCTCAGGTTTCCATTGTTTGTTAAGCACCACATGCTAGACCATCACTTTCGGCAACTACTTCACTCTTCATCCCTCAACCGCTGGACGTACAACGTCTTGGCGGAATCCGTTCAAATGGACGAGGACCCTTGGCTCAAAACACGTGTGAATTGCAAGGCGCATCATCAATCTTGATTGAGCTTTGTTTGTTTCCTAAGGACTTCGTAGGGCATACAGCCCGATTGTCCCGGCGCGTCTCCCCAATGGCTACGGCAATGCGGGTGTTGCAAAGGTATGTCACTAGGGCATTCCGCGAGTGGCAAAAGCCACAACAAGGCATCAATGATGCCTGATAGTTTCCGGGGAATTGGCCAAACCAGCACGCTGGGGCCCAGGCGCACGACGGATGCGCTTGAGGGTTGCTGCTTTGAGCCAAAACAGTCTGTGTGTCCGATGCTTCTGGGATTCCCTCAAGTGACCCCTGGAATGTCATTTGACCGTTTTTTGTTGACAAAGCCGTATGACCAGAAAAAAACGGTTGTTTGCATTACCAGGGACACCTAAAAGGGTAAAGCGGGTTTTTGTTAACAACAACCCAGTCTATCCTATAGGTCTTTGGAGCTGCTTGAAATTCTTTGCGCGTCAACTGTTCCCACATCTGGCTGCTCGGACCTGTGCTCATGGCTGCGCAAGCTTACGCTCGCTGCATGTTTGGCGGCAGTTCGCCCAAGCTGTGGAAAATACGATGCTGCTCAATTCTGGCTGATGATTTCAGGTTGGATGTCCCTTTGGAAGTCTATTCGCGCTATTCTCTCTCCCTCTCTTGAACTAGGGGTTTTGATCGTGGCTCAAAAGCCACCCCATTGATTAAAATCACAAGCTGGAAGTAAGGAATCCCTTAGTGAACTGCGCAGTCTCCATTTAAGTTTTCCTCACAAGGGGTCCAAGCTCATTTATGCTTTCCTCAAGTTTTCTGGTCATTCTAAACCTACTTTGCACCACTCGTAGCTTGGCCGTCTCTTTTGCGGGCCGGGCGTTTCTTCTGAAAGGGGGCTGTACCCCCAACTAATCAAAGGGCACTTCTCCTGTCCCAGGCCGCTGTCTAGGTGTCAAGTGAGTCATGCTCAAAACCTGGTTTTGAAATGGTCGTAATCCCGGAACCATGCTTAAAGAATTAAGAAGCCGGATATCCGCAGCTATTTCTGGTTGGGATTCTCCCTAAGCTTCTACCCGGGTTTTGAGTTTGGCTCAAGTGCCCTTGAATTCTCGACAGAGCGCCCCAACTGGTCCCAGCCAGCTCCTCTCTGGCACGCTTCGTCGGCCCGAAATGGGCTGTCAGCAGGCTGCGGCCAGATGGGGCTGCTTCCCTGCACAGGGCAAGCTAAACTGCCTACGTTGGCCCAACAAAAAAGCCATGCCATGATCAACTCTAAGGTGTGGACGAATGGCTCTTTAAAACCCTGAGGCGTGCATGACCCTGCTACCCCAAGTCAAGCAAATGGCATTTTGCGACATGCTTGGTCCAAACGCAACGTCATAGTCGGACAAACATGTTGTGTCCAATGAACAGGGTGCGTAAACCCATATTGGAAGCGTTGGTGTCTAGACAACCTTCATGTTTGGTGAAAGGATATTGGAAAGCCACAGAAGTTGATCCAACGAGCAGATCAAACCGCTAGATTGGTTGAAGCAGGGTGCATCCGGATCTTTGAACAGTGCCATTCCTTTTGACAACATCACCCCAAAGGAAAACTCGCATTGAACCTGGCCAAAAGGTGATGCTTGAATCCACCAAGAGATAATTGTAGGGAACGCTGATGGAGAAAGCTGTGAACTGGGCAACATTTTCCTCAATTGGGCCGCTTCTCCGCCATTGCAGATCTGCAGAAGATTGTCCTCTGGTGTTTGGCGCAATCACACACGGATAGCAGGCTTGACAATGCTTACATTCGAAACACTACGCCTTTCGGGCGGTACACCCGTCTCTACTGCAAGGTATCTCCAGCAGCTGCTTCGCGTCAACACTGCTTGACATCTGATTGTAGCAACATGTATTCTGTCCAGGTATATCTAAACTCCCTATGGACGAAAACCATTTCGCTCCACCTATTAAACCCTAGAATGATGATTCCCCTGCAAATGCCAGCAAACAATGGTGTTCCATTGTTTCAAAGTGGTGCGAACGGATTTCGCGCCCATCCACAGCATCATGGTTTAGTGAAATTACGCTTTGAGTGATACCAAAGTTGGCAGCCCGTGCAACTCTGCAACTCACTGGGTATCACAAAAAGTGGCCCGAAATCGGATACTTCCGTGCAACACTTCTAACCCCAAAAGTCTGTACCTGGACCCTCAAACTACCTATAACAAAGGGAATTCACCAACCATAACTTAGCAGCAATAACATGGTTTTTATATAAGGGGAATTTTCAGGGTCTGGGTATTTAACGCTCACCAATTCCCTCTGTCAAACCCACGTGGTTTACATGGAAACAGAAACAATTACCAAAAGAAGAACATGATCTCAAAATAAGAGACCCCCAAATCCGAGGGATTTCCTTTGGTTTTTCTTAACCAAAAGCAAACAGGGTACTGGGCTGTCAACTTCCATTTGCTTAAGCCCCCTGGAAAAAGTAAAAATATGTCCAGTAGTGATAGATTCCCTTTTTAACCAAGAGGGAAAACATCTTAAGCAAACGGAAGTTTAGTGGTTTAGTGGTAACGAGCTCTGAAACCTAACTCGCGCCACTGGGCGCCTTCTTTCACCAGGCCACCCTGGAGCGATGGATCTGGTCGTGTCCAGATCAGCAAGGTGCCTGGTTCACTGTCCTAACGGCTGAGCTCTGCTCTTCTCCAGTCGGCTTGATCTCCAAAAACCCGTCGCCGCTGTGTTCCAATGGCCCGCGCGAAGTGGGAAACCAAGCAGGCACCCAAAGCACAAAGCTGGAAGTTACTGACAGTTTAAGTCGCAGGGGCTGCATGTGCCCTTCGAGCACCTAAACCCAAAACCCACAAAAACCAAAAGCCTTTCTGGGGATAGCTACTGTGGATGGACGAACTCCTGCACTGCTTGAAAACCATGGAAAAAATGTTTGCTCGTAGTTACCAGGATATCGAATCATTCCAGGGTTTCTTAGGTGCGAAATGGACTTCGCAACCATCCACGGTAGGCCGAACAGACGACGGCCAACTTGAGATCCATTTTCCGCGGCAACCCTGCTGCCCGCCTCCGGCCGGAGTTCTTGAAGTTCAGCCTACGCGGCAACAAGTTGGCTGTGCTCAGGTTTCGGTTTTGCTGACTGGGGGCTCGAGAAGTATGGCCACGGGTCAAAAGCCAAATCGTACCCCCGGTGAACATCCCAATCCAATCACTAAAATAGGCTCTAAAATGGGTGGTGCACCTACCCCAAACATGGTATCATTGGTTTTGACCCACAGCCATATAGAGCTACCTGGACCCTCGAAATTATCTGACAAAAACTGGTTGTTGCCCAACCATTGTGGTAGGTTAACTCCCTTTTTATAGGTGAGGGTCCAGGTAGCTTCTTTGTTCTGTCCTCTTTCCCGAAAAGGGAGGCAACACCATGAAATGAAAAGCGATCACTCAAAGAAGCTGGAAAACACAGATTCATCAGTCATGAGACCACTTTCCAACTACTCGAGCGAGGGAAACTGGCGAATCGCTGAAATAGCCCAAATGTTAAAGCAGTACCTAGTGTTTCGAACTGGAGCCTCAAAACCAAAATGCAACCAACTGGTCAGGTCCTGAGTTTTTTTGCGAAACATTGAAAATTCAAGCATAAAGAACATCCTAGAGTCTCCATGACCCTTAACAAATGGGTCCACGACCCCGTAATTTTGGGTAATGACCCCAATTTTTTAGGGTCATGGAGACTCTAGGATGATTACTTCCGGGTTGATTTCTGTTCAGGAATTTTCACACAACCTTCTTTCAATCCCCAGTGGTTTTCCCAGCGTTTTGGCTGTGTTTCTGCAAAGCTACGTAGAGGATTAGGGATGCACACTCGTCCCCCTTCCCCCCCCCAGCAAAAAAAATCGAGTCAAGGCGACCTTGATGCACATCAAATCGGTGACTCCGACAGTTCTAGCTGTACTTCTCATTGTTTGAGAAATCCTCTTGTTCAATTGGTGTGTCTCAAAATGAAGAAGACAGTAAAATGGGTGGCGTGTCCCTTGAAACATACGCAAATGGTTAACCCTCAAAAAACCGACACCCACCCACGCCGAAAACCGTGTATTGGTCAGAGCTTGATATTGGCAAACGCAGCCCCCGAGACTCTGGATTCCTTTGACATCACAAGTCAGCCTCTCAGCTTGCAGATCTCCTTCCGTGCAGCACTTGGGGGTGTCTCCATCCGTAGAAATCCAAGCAAGTCGGTCTCCTTGGGCCGTTGGGGTTCCATTCATCCATTTCTATGAGGGACACGGAGCTTCAACGGCCTTTGCATGTGGCGTCCCTTTGATCTGCAACAAACCCGAAAGGGAGGCCCTCACAGAGAAAAAAAACACACGCACACACACACACACACACATCCATTTCAAGGGGTTTGATGGGTGAGAAGATGAAACCAAGGCCGTCAATGGACTGCCACTATTGTCAGCCCATCACGCCTGAAGCGTTCATCGCAGGAAGTTGCCTTCGCCTACCACAGCACATTCGACTTTTCCTTTCAACCAAGTTTCCCTGAGACGCGGTAGGAAGGGCAGCCATGGCAGCCCATGTCCCTGTTACCTGAGGGGGAGGGGACGGGGGTTAAGATCCTCTTGTTCCTTTCAACTCTCAAAAAACAACTCTCAAAGAGTTGAGATCCTCTTGTTCCTGTTTGAGGCTTGAGAGTTGAGGTCCTCTTCCCAACTCTAAAAAAACCAAACAGGCCCAGATAGATGAACGCTGTCTCCAGGTCCTGTGGCGCCTTTCGCAGGGCGGGCTCGCAAGTTGCAGATCTTGCAACCAACATGGGTTCAGGCAGTGCATCATGCATCAGGCAGATCTTTTGGCTGCTTCTGGTGGTCAAACTCCGGGTCTTCTGCAAACCTGGCAAATACGGGGAAAAAACAAGGCCAGGCATATATGGATCAAGGCTTCATGGGATGGGCCAAGAAGACTCCCTGAGCCTGCTGTATTTTGCCTGTGTTTTGGTTGGGTCGCTGGCAGGCACACCATTTAGACTATGGCAAAACCCACCCAAAACCCACTCCCTAGGCCTTCGTGGCTTCGGGAAGCTTGGGATCCCAGGTCGACCTGTTTTCTCGCATCGCACAGCTTCTCCTTTGATCACTTCCTGAGTGCTGGGGTCTTTCTTTTTGCCACCTTTTCTTGGTGGACGTTGGGTTAGAGCATTTGTTTTTCAGATTTTAGCAGTTAAGTGGTTGGATTTCAACCACTAAACCACTATAAGCAAGAATGTAAACTGTTTCCCAACAACAACCACCTTTTGTGAGATAGTTGGCGACCCCCTCAAAAAGGAATCCTTCACTACCACGGGGTCGATCATTTTTCCACCCAAGGTGGCAAAAAGACCCCCCTGCTCCTGAGTGGGGGGGGGGGGTCAAAAAAGTCCAAACTTGTAACATACTCTTCCCAAGAAGCTTCAAGCCCAGGAACTCAGGAAGTGACTCTGAGGGACTTTTAGACCATTGCGCTTCCCGAAAAACCACCGTAAGCATGTGAAGTCTCTTATTGAGCGCTCCAAAGTGACTGGTTTCCTTTAGAAGCTTTTGTAAACCAGCCAAACTCTAGGTTTCCTGTTGACCTTCGGTGAAACCGACAGAGCATGCGATATGGGGGTTTCATGACATTGAGGGCCTGTGTGTTAGATGCTTTCACAGAGACACCCACCATCTTTGGGGGTAGTTTCGGACACGCCTACACAATAACCCTGACTGGAATCAGCTACTGGTAAGCAAGAAAACTCGAGCCAGAAACTATGGTCACATTGCCTTGTTCCCCGCTGTCAAAATTCAAGAAATCCACTGTAAAGCAATGAATGGAACAAAAATGGAGCCGAGGTCATGGCTTCTGGTCAACGGGACACGCACCCTCGCTGGTTGGCGTTCACTCGGCATCTCACTCGATGAAGCAGCGCAACCTGAGCGAGAGGCTCAAGCAAGCCGTGCGCCACACAGGAAAGAATGCGGCGTCCGCAGGCTGTTGGTGAAACGGTACGAGGGATCTGAAAACCGAAGGCCATGTAGAATCCCTTTCTTGAATAGGCAAGTTGACTCTTTCTCGGGTGTATGTGAAGGCATGGTGTCGTATCACGGCATAACCTCAAAGGACTTCAAGTCACATGTTGGTATGTCCTCGTTTTAGGGGACCCTCCGACATGGCTTCGGTTGTCCTTCTGGTTTCCTTCAATCAAACCCCCTCAAACATGGGACCGGTCCCCGTTTCAAAAGGTGTTGCCGCCACCCTGACATAGGCCTTTGGCCAACAAATACTGCATAGGCCGAGACCCCGCGTAGTGCATGAAGTTTTCTCCTTTGGTGCAATGGGGGGCCAATGTGGCTGGGTTGTTCATGAGATCCCCAATCCTCCTGTGGATGGACGAAATCCTGCACCACCTAAGAAACCATGGGAAACCATATCGGTTGTTGGTATTTACATTGGAATCATCATTCCAGGGATTCTCAGGTGGTGCGAACTGGATTTCGTCCATCCACAGTCCGTAATCCATAGTGGGAAACCACGAGGAAAACCGCCTCCATCTGGCAGATTCTTGCAGACGGATGTTTACCCTAATGTGTGTTTTGTTGTTTTAGACAAGACAAATACAGCTGTATGCCTTAAGGATTGAGCATTGAGGACGGCTTAAGGCATAGGTGACCTTCTGGAAACATGTTCATTGATATTCCTGGCAAATCGGACAAGATAATCTAAACCAATGGAGCCCATCTATGCCCCAACAAACAAACCTAAAAATTAACCTAAAAACAAAACCTAAAAACAAACCTAACAACAAACCTAACAACAAACCTAACAACAAACCTAAAAAAACAAACCTTAACAACAAACCTAACAACAAACCTAACAACAAACCTAAAAAACAAACAAACCTAACAACAAACCCGACAACACCCCTAAAAACACACCTAACAACAAACCTAAAAAAAACAAACCTTAAAAACAAACCTAACAACAAACCTAACACACCGAACAACAAACCTAACAACAAACCAAAAACACACACAAAAAACAACTAACACAAAAACAATCCTAAAAACAAACTTAACAACAACCTAACAACAGGACGCACCTAACATATTTCTCACCAAACCGAAAACCAGGAGAGCTATGGCTTGCTTCGCCCGCCCGCGGATCCCGCGAGTGCCTGAGGTAGGCCGAGCCGGGCCGGTCGCTCTGCCAACTCGGCGACACCAGGACTCGGCGATCATCGCCCTCAGCAAGTCACGAGCCACTCGGGATCCCCTTAAAGGAAACCACCAGTTGGATGGTTTATAGAGGTCATTCCAATTCTCATTCCCTGCATCTAGAGGTTCGAGTAAGGGTACCCTGTTTTGCTGTAACCCTCCCCCAAAAAAGGGTAAAAGGGCACCACAGGGGGACCGAAAAATCATGTTTGTCCAACTGGGAAATTATGCCGACCATGTGGATGGTTGCGAAAATCCACTCGCACCACCAAAGCAACCCAACGGAATGATTTGATTGCCCTCACGTAAATACCAACAAACACTAGTTGCAACCATGGTTTCAAAGTGGTGCAAGATTCGCTTGCCCAGCAGAGATACCAACCAACGTAATGGTTTCAACACATTGTGGAGTATTGTGTCCACCAACCGCAGATCAGGAACATCCCTACTAAACTTCGTAGCTAATAGCCAACTTACCTGATGTGTACAGCCATAGCTATATACGACCATAGCTTGGATGAATGTCATTGGGGTGGACGTGAAAGTGGGATTTGTGTCCACCCATTTTCGTACCCAAAGCTTAGCTTCAAGGAAACCCAAAGGGTAAACTTCTTACCCCCAGAGGGTTCAACCCCCATAAAAGGAATGGCAAGGAACCAATTCGGATGACAATCCTGAAGGGTAAATCATGGTGGCTATAGTCTCCCAACCATTATTTTCATGGTGGCAACTGAGCTCCAGGGTTACGGTCGTCATGGTTCCCTTATCCTGGTCCAACATCCAAGTGGCTTCCAATCATACTGTCGACCCTAAAATTGGCCTCTTGACCATGGCACTTGAAGCAGAGCCATGGCACTTGAAGCCATGGCACTTGAAGCAGAGTGTTCTTGTGAAGGCCATTTGGGTCTCTCCTTTTGAAAGACAACCCCCCAACACAACCATGGTGGTTTCCTTACTGGTTTCCCTTTGACCCCCCCCCCACAAAAAACAAGAAACAAGACAACATGTGAACGTTTTCCTCTTGGTTTCCCTTTAAAACCACCGAACACCACCAAACGCCTCCCCCAAACAAACAAAACAAAAAAAACACGAGCGCCGCCGCCGCCGTGTTTGTTTCCTGCAAAGCCCGCGCCTGGGCCTCCTGGAGTCGTTGGGCGGCAATGACCGCCCTCAGCGCCTCAGACCAAAGGGCGGCGTTGCTTCGATCAGCTGGGGTCTCAAAATGGTGAACCCCCTGCTTGCGATCGGTGCGATGGGGAATGATAAATGGAATGAACCCAGGCTTTGGTCACCTTAAAGGGAACCACCAGTTGGACGGTTGGTAGGGGTCATTCCCTCACTCCCTGCTTGGCACCAGCAAGCCTTTTGGTTGGTGGTTCAAGCAAATTTAAGAACACAAGTCCCTGGCCCCTTGCACCCCAAATATGAGGGCCTTGAACCCTGCAAAAGCCACAAATTATAAGTTCCAGGTTGGGCGAGGAACGGTTTAGGAGCAAAATCCCTTATGGGTGAGGCAGGGGACTTTGTGGCGGTTTGGTAAAACACGTACTGAGGTACATGCCTGGGTGTCTTGGGCTAGGAAGGCCAGTTGCTGGTTTTTGCTCCATGCACGTTGCCCCGAAAACAAGCAAGAGTGACTGCAAAAAAGAGGCAACTTGGCTATCTGGGTAGTTCCGAAAATAAGGTAAAAGACAGTAGATCCCCGATCTACGGTTGTTTCTCGTTCTTTCCCACACAGAAAAACACAAGCTTATATATAGTGGCTCATGTGGATTCCACTCAACGAGCCTGGGCTTCAACAGTGCTCAACCTTTAGAACCACGAAACATGAATGGAAACCAATGGGTCAGCGAAGTTCGGCAAGCAAAACACGCACCCCCCCAAAAAACAACAACCACCCACAAAAAAAACATTACCCCCCCCCCCACAGACACGCACCCACACACACAAAACCATGGCCCCCTTGGAGGGCCTACCCTCAAGGGATCCTGCCCCCCAAAACACACAACCCCAACACCCAACTCGCCCCAAAATGAAAAGCCAACTCCAATTTTTGACCTCAGAAACCGGCCCCAAAAACAGTCAACCCCCCTCCAAAAGAACAGCGCCAAAACCCTAAACCCACATCCCCCCCCGCCGAAACCAAAACCAAACAACAAACACACACAGACACAAACACAGACACAGACACAGACACAGACACACACACAAACAAACAAAAAACCAACAACCCCCGTACCCCGAAGCCCAACACATTAAACAACCAAAACAC